CATCATCGTCTTTTTCCATAGTAGTTGCCGGCGATGTGGTTAGCGAAATGAAGACGGCATAGCCATTAGACGGCAGCGCCTTTTAACGTTATCCAATTCAGTTTCCTCATATCCTTCTTGACAGTGAGAGTGAATTGGTTTTGGAGAAGATAATATCAACGTGCTTCCCAATGGCTTAACCCCTTATCGTTATTCGGAGGTGTTCCTTGGTGTCAGGGTGCGATGTCTAGCGGGAACATTCATTCATCCTCCTAGCAGGGTCTTCCAGGCTGAAAAGGAGTCCACTATGTCTATCAGGAAGCCCAGCTGAGAGTAAACCATTACCAAGTTCCACTATTGTTCTGGTACCAAACTAGTAGCGTGCCGGGAAATCTTCATCTGATTAACAAGAAGTTACTGCCGGTAGTCATGACGACCTGGGGCAGACTTTGCTAGACTGACCTCAGGACCTCAGGAAACCACAACAGCTAAGCCAGCAGGGCTCCGAGACAATGGAAATTGTGCTGTGGCCGGCACACCATTGAAGGCAGGCCATCCAAGTACCAAATACCAAGTTCCCTGTTATAATTATTTATACAAGGTTCTCCTGCGATATCGGGCATAAATGACGATTGTTCTCTAATATCTTTCCGGTTTTTCAATATTCCGCGAAGTGATTGCTCATTTATGAACACTGAACAAGTAGTAGAAGTACTCTACAGCGCTCTGGTGTTTTTGTTTTCAGTACAAGATAAGATTTTAATAAGATCAATATTGGCCCTAGAAGACGTGTGGACGCTGACGAGGTTTACGGATCTTACAGTGACCACCTCGTTGATCTTAGCAGTAATAGAGTGTTTGTGGGAAATCCAGCCTTTCCACAATATATAGTGAAAGACCACAAAGTGTGGGTACACTCGCTGGCAGACGAAATATACGAGGATGCCTACCAGTTTCAAGTTCTGCAGAATATTGGAGAGGTACGTTCGTGGTTTCTCAGATTTTTTAAATTCTTATTTTATTAATGCGAAGGTGCTTATTGCAGCAGTTGCACCATGCTGGAGAAAATTATCGTTTTATTGATGCGGAAACGTGCATGGAAACAATGAGAAATTTTGCTGAGGGGCTACAATCAAGAACTAATGATGTTGCAGCTGATGATTTGTTAGGAAATGCTGTAGAATCTCAGCAGTATATCGCTACTGTCCATCGAGATTTTCCACCACAGCATGTGCTTTCAAGTTCCCACCATGTCAGTGGGACAGGGCCTCCTCGCCAGAAAGAAACGTTTCCGGGCGCTAATGCAGCCACTGAACGCCAACAGTAAATGTTCTTTCAAGTGTGTAAATTATGAATGATATGTTTTGCTGCTTAGACATGCGGAGCAACCAACAGGACCGTGCAATGGGAGCGGTTAGACCAGGGATAGCACTCGTATCATGTAATTTGTATGTATATCCCAGTTTATCTCCATAATGTTATTCTTGTTGTTTCTCGAAAATAAACAGTCTTGTTTTTTCAATGTGCTCCTTTTGGATATTTGTGTATAGACACATGTATATATAAAGTATTTATTTATATATATATACATACATATATATGTAAACGTACAAAATGTTGGCGATATTGTTGAGTTGTCGATCAAGCTATTGTGTGCTTTCCAATGTGTCTGATCGTGACCTTTTAACGAGTGCGTTCGTTTGCTTGGAGGCCACTTTATAATTGGTGGTTCTGAAAACCTGATTTCATTGCGGATTTACTGTTTCTGTACTTCTGCTGTTTCATTTCATTCAAGTGGACAATAAGTCTGTGTTTAACTTTTTCATCTTAACACTATTTATTTCTCTTGTTTCATTCATTTTCTAATCGCTCAAGGGAAGATGGCAGCAACTTCTGTTTACGGATTTTGGTTGAAGGGCTGGAAACATGCATCCAAGAAACTTCTCGTGTCCTTCGAAATTTGTTTTGCCAACTGGGATATAATGTCTCTGTTGAAAACGATATGTGTACACATACACATATGTTTATATCAGTTTGGCGTTCACTGCGCTACTCGCTTCCTGAAAGGCCGAATTAATGAACAAAAATGCAACGAAAGGTATTGGGTGACTTTTCGAGGTATTGGTCGGCGCGAATCGCATATTTCCCGTGCCGTGTTTAACCTCTCCTTTATCATGGTGTAATGTCGAATCAACTACCGGCCACCGCGTTCACTGAGAAATCACTTCATCTCTTTTACTGTGCTTTCCACTGCACAGTTGGTTCATCCAAATATTTTGTCAGTTGTGCCGGAGTTTCGTCAAAATATAAACAAGGGTTTACTACATTTGCACCAACGAGTAACTGCTCCTCAGGTCAGAAACGAAATCGTATCTCGTGGGCGTTTAATTCATATCTTTTTATTGCCCGGAAACTTGCTGCCCATTCCACGGTGAACGAGTGAGATCCGTCTGCTGTACAAAGTGTGCGAATTTGCTAATGTTTCGTTACATACGCCGTTATTTCACTCTCGTCTTGTGAAACAATCCTATTTCTTCCCGGAAATCGGCCACAAGACATGTTTGATGGAGTAAGATTTTGTGTTGTACTTTCATGTACATTTAACTCTCTCCTTTAACATTGTTTATGAACTTGGATAACTTTTCTTTAAAATTTCCATTTCAAGAGCTTCGTTTAGTTCAACTTTTGCAGTTCTGACACATTTCTTGTAAATACACTCGTTTCTACGTTTTCGAACTCTTAATATTCTCAGTTCCTGGAAGGTAAACGTCAAAAGGTCCTATGCATTTTCTGTTTGTTAGTATTTACATAGCAATGATTTTACTTTTAGTGTGACTTCACTTTTTCTTTTCTTTTGTCCTTCCGCGAATCTTCGCTTGAGTTATTCAAGTCTGAACAACCGGCTCAATGTGCCTTTGGGTTTTCTGTTTATGTTATCGCATTCTTCGACCAGTTCATCTGTGTGTTTTTCTATTTCTGGCTTGTCGTGTACACACCAGCAAAAATGTAAGGGATGGATGTGGATGAGTTCACACACGAGCTTTCTAGCGGCTATTCCTTCCATATTCCTCCCTGTTTTCTTTACAAATTGTTTTTGTGTGCTTTCCTTTACTGCGATACTGTTTATTTGTGCTAAGCATTCTCTCAACGTTTACTCTTCACTTCATCAGCTACTGTCTTCTAATTTATGGCTGTGTATGTTCATAAATTATTTTTTTTTCCAAAGCGTCTTCATAGTCTTCATAGTCGAAAATAAACATCATTATCAACCTCGTGTAAGCTCATCAAAGAAAGAATACGTCTTCATAGTGTCCACCAACAAAACTATGTTGTCGATGACAGTGATGGACCTCGTTTATCAAGTGAGATCGGTTGACATCAATTAAGTATCTTTAACCTCTACGTGTTTTGTTCGACGTCAGCTAAGTGGTCCCAGTGGAGAAATATACACCAACTTCAAGACCTATCCTAGATTCATCTAGTCATTGTTGACTTTCAATTCATGTCCTTTTTGGACCACTTCCCGGTTATTTGGTTTCCGTGAAGAATCTTTGGGAAGTAGGGTATATTTTTGCTTAGCGAATGAATTAGTGAGTGATTCAAGCGATTTTCAATGCACTAGTCAAGTGGACCCACTAGAAAAGTTTGTTTTGAATGTTATGACGAAAACTCGAAACTTTCTTCCGGCTTCGAACTCAGGATTCCTCGTAACGGGAGTCGCGAGCCATGGTTTTAGATGTGGTATGTTTAACAGCTCTTCGCATCATTTCAGAAGTCGCAAATTAACATACGGTTTATGTCATAGCGTAACTCTGGACCGTTCGTCCGAGATATTTTACAGCTAGTCATCCGAACTGCAATTTGATATTGTGTGGACCGGCTGTTAAATTGGAACCTTGTTAGAACGGGAATTTTATCTTTAAGTGAAATTGGAAAACTACCCTTCTTCATACCATCATTCTTTTTCTTTCCCGTGTGATTCTCCACTCTACCCGATTCGTCCGATGCAACAGTAAAGAAAATCAACAACGCGGGAACGACGGACTACTGTGCACGGTCAACTCGAATCGCTGTGGCTGAGACGAAGTGAAAGTCTTCAGAACGTTAACCATAACAAAGGCAACATCGTGTAAGCTCATCACTAACCAAAACATTGATTATTCGTACCAGGGTTCAATGAAATTCCGAACTGAATTTGGCATTGTTCGTATTCAATGCGTTAACATTCTTGGTTTTCAATAGTACTCCTGCAACGCTGTAGTTGACTTCCAAATTGGAGTTCTATGACATCTTCATTAGTAGTCACTCTGTATCGCATTAATTCTCTATTTTACAACGAAGGACGAAACGCAAACAAGCTGAAGCTGAGCTGAGTGTTAATGTGCGTGTGCCTTTGTTCATCGAAGGAGTTCCTTTATCTTCAGTGGAGGTAGGGGGTGAGGTGTGTCCTTACTGAAGTTGCCTGGCGCGGAATTCTATATAACGGAAGCTATGACTATTAGGGCGATACGTATTTGAAACAGGTATCATTACAAATCCATTTAGTGATTTGCTACGTACTCATCGCAAGTACTGCTAAAATGTTCAGAGCTGCGGTTTACGTCACAGTGCCCATCTGAGCTGAGAAGGAATTTTAAAATGCCTTATACGATGCGCTTAATTATGATGCCCTTTATGTTCTTCATGCAGGCAGCACGAAACGGGAAAACCTGAGTGCGTTTGTAGAAAAGCATGAGTGGAGACCAACTTGTATGCAACATAATTATATTGTTTGTGGGATTACAAGAGAGTCGTTTGATTGATTCATCATTTGGCTCTAGTATTTTCGGTTTACCTTGGACATCAGTGATGAGATTTTGTTCCCTCGAAATGGATATTTTCGCATCCCCATTCGGATTTATCTTCGTATGATCCGACCCGAGAATCGAAGGCATCACAAGGAGCCTTGTTCAGGCTAGTCCTAGGTGCTGGCTTGATACCTAAGTGTTCAAGAGTCATTTTGCATTTCTATAACCAGAATCATGCCAATTCAGTTGCATTGTGGACGTGAAGATAAGGAAGGATTCGACTCGGCAATGCCATTTCGAAAAGCCATTTTGCTTCACCCGGTAGATAGCGACAACTTTTATGGAAAAAGTAGTGTGGTTAAGCGCAAGGAGTATTGTTAATGGCGAACAGATTCGTTTCCAACGCGCAATTTACCCCCAAGCGAATAAAGATTGTCGAATGCTTTAGTGAAGATATACCTGGGTTGGAGGTCAATATGAAGAGTGGTTTATTCTGGCAGTGGAAGAAACAGGATTCGACACATTTAAGAACATCGAAAATGTTCGAGCAGATGATCCCATCGATACCACTTTACTGTTTTTCATGGTGCTACGGGATTTGGAATCTCGGAAAAATAGTGCAGATTCTTTATAGGGAAGGTAGCACTGCAAGTGATTTATTACTCCTTTTTGATCAAGATCAGTAACTCTGCCAGATATTCAAAGAAGTCGACAATCAGCTAGAGACCTACATCGACTCGGTTTTATAAAGTATTAAAGGCAGATTTCTCAGCGAATGACCTACCTGGTATATAAAATCCACTTCTTTTCTTTCGAGCGAACAGAATCCACTAGGAAACTACTCCACGTTACACGCAGGAAGAGTGTGTTTATCGCTGACTGTACGAATGGTCCGCAAGACTTCCCTACAATATGCAATATAAAAGCCAGTAATAAGAATTGGCCTGAGAAAGGGTTAGCGTAACTCTAATTACGATCGCTAGCCTTTTAGTTCTGTTCTTTTATACAAATAGCAATAGCCACGAAGAAGCAGTTTCCCATGACACGGCTACAGGAATATTCCAGAACCTCTTGTGTGTATTCGTCCAAGAACACCAACGGTTTAATATCCAGATAATTCTTTAGATATTAGCAATGGGCGTGATAGTCAAGATATCACTTTTGCCAACTATTTAGGGTGTGATCGGCATGAAACGTTGTGTTCTGTGTACTTCGGTTGGGTCTACTAGGTAGATAATCCGTTTCTCTCGATTTGCTGGTGCCGTTTTTCTTTCTTTGTAATTTTAATTGTGTTTAATTTTGCTTTCCTGCTTGCCTTTCTTCATTTCTAAATTCAAACTGTTCTTCAATGTTTTTCTTCAATAAGCAGACACGAGGTTGTTAATATAGAATTTATTAGAATACAATAACTGACGTTTCGGCGGATTTCGCCTTTCTCAGAGCTTGGAAGGATCAAGTTGACAGCAATCTGCCCAGCCAAACACCTCTATAGCCAAACAGAGAAAACGCTAAACCAAAATTTCAATCACATTTAGCATAGCTCTGCACACTCACCGCTTTCTCTGAGTCTTCCACTGAATATATCACGTGGAGACCAACCACACAGAGTTCACATGGAATCGTAACGTGCCCATTCCATTAGAATAATAGGCTTACATACGTAAACCGCAGCTCTGAACATTTTAGCAATGCTTGCCCAATATCTCGCGTGATAATGAGGCATTCCTCCAGCGATTCATTTTCGGATTTTTGAAATTAATCCAGAAAGCTTGGAGAGTTTTGCTCGCTTGTGTTTTTGATTCCTGTGCAATGGTCGTGACCACTACGAAATCCTCCCCGTTATGTCTCTGCGTCCTATGCGTGCCTAATGGAGTACGTGGTTTAAGTTTACCGACTAAGTTTTCTTCTATACAGACGCAGAGTGGTATACCCGTTTCACCAACGTCTTCGTCCCCGCACGCTTTACAAGAGGTTAGATAGACTGTACCCGAACTCATGCAACCACTATCTCTACCATTATGGCAAATTATGCAATTTTGCGCTGAACATCGACGGTCGTATAGGCCTGAGGATGCCTCATTCGATTCGAGAAGATGGCTCACTGAGGAAGACCTGGCACGACACGAAGGCGAAGCTGCAACGTCGAGACGAACAACGAGCATGGACCATAGACTCGGATCATCGGCTCTGAGGAAGACGAAGACGTCGAAACGTTAGCCGAAAATAAATATATTTACCAACCTCGTGCAAGCTTATCAAGAACGAATACATATTTATTAGTCACACCGAGGTTTAAAAGTCGGTTTCGAAATATGGTCTTATAAAGTTTCCTCGAAATCATTGGGCGATTCGATGTTTTTCTTCAATAAGCAGACACGAGGTTGTTATTATAGAATTTTTTAGGTTGCAATAGCTAGCATTTCTGAGGTTTCGTCTTCCTCAGAGCCTGGGTGATTGTTCGTCACACGATTCCGTTGCAATTGGCAAATCACCCACCGCTGGATCTGTAGCCTACGGCAAGAGGTTAAGAGAATTAGGAGTTGAAGGCAATTATTTGGTTAAGAAGTGTCAAGGTTTACTTTGTTGTTATTACATATGTGCACGGTCGTTCGCTTTACTCTATTTGTCACTTAGTGTAATATTTGCCATTTGAAACAACCAGTTTTTTCAGATGCAAGTCAGTTTACCCAGTCGTTTTCTGACGCGCTTCGTTCGGATGAAGACAAAGAGTTCGAGCAGATGATAGCGAAGCTTCGGGATGAAGCTCAGGCGGGGTCCGATTGCGTTTTTCATTTTTGAAACACTTGGTGGATATATTCCACTGCATGAATTTAACAACTTATTTTACCATCTTCAGATCTTAAATAGCTGAATCGAGCGAGCGTGCTGCCACAGCTAAAGACGAGCAACCTATCTAGGATTTGGAGAAGAAAGTTCGTGAGTTGAAGGAGAAAAATCGAGAGTCCATTGCGGAGAAGACCGAGTTACGGCGGGTGAGCAACCTGCTGATTTCTGCTGATGACTTGGATGACCGCAAATAGTTTAGACGTGGTGGTGAACACATGCCATCTGATCGTTTAATTGCTTGTTCATCACTGGAACATCATTACCATTACAATCGTAGCAGCACACAGAGCGGACTAATGTGCAGAAAAAGGGCATAGCTTCCAGCTGCATGTACACATTCCATAACATTTTCATCAGATACAACTGGAATAAACATTGAGCGGAAACGTAGACGTCAAGCGAGACGGTCGTACTTCTCGAGGTTGCTGATCTGTTTTGGGTTGTCACTTATAGATGTTCTCAGGCCGATGTTAACCGAGGGCTAAATCAGGCGCCATTGATTTTTAGTGAATTTCGCTTGTTTTTGTTGATTGCCAGTGCATTTTCTAAAGTGGGTGGAAGGAGTCTTAGGAAACGGTATTCAGATTATAGTGAGTTTATAGCAAGTGTTTATGGGGTTTTCTTCAATCAGAGTAGGTTTTAATGCAACTGACGAAATGCCAGTGTTGATGTTTTTGATTTTTTCTGTCGTTCCGAAGTTACTGTATACTATTTTGCAGTCGGGTGATATTGTTACATAGTTATGCTATCCTATGTTTATTGTGAATCTAAACTAAACCATAGTCGAGGGCAAATTGGTTGAAAGATGTGGTGACCACATGCGAAATCATGTTCACCAGGAGCGCGCACTGTGTATTGTTTAAAGACAGTGTCTAAAGCAGTTTATTGATTCTTAGTTAATCTTGCTTACGGAAATCTCTTAAGACCTTTTCTATTTGATCTGATTTAAAATGATTGCGCAGTCACCGTTTAGATTGTAAAGGGTCTTTTTTATAAGTGGCCATCGTATAAGTGCTGCTTTCCAGCCTTTGGCTTATGCTGGTTTGATCGTTTAATGCAAGAGGATATGGTCAGGAGCTCTACCGATTTAAAGTAGTAATAGTTCCCAGGATCGACTTTCTATTAACCTCGGCATTGGAATATGAATGTGTCATTTTCTTGTTCAGCAATCGCGAGGTTTTTTAAACAGCATACATTTACTTCCATAGGAAAACACAATGCAATACAACATTAGCTGACGTTTCGGCAGTATCGCCTTCTTCAGAGCCGTAGTTTTGATGTAAGAGGATGTTACTAAGGGAATCTTAGGAATGATCTGGAAATTTCGGTAGAATGTGTTTTATCCTTGGAATACAATTGAAACAATGTAAGATAACTTTACTCTTACTGTATTATTGTTCCTCCCAACGGTTTACCGCCTAATTATGGCTGGGTGTTCTTGTGTATTGGGATGCGATGTAGAGCGGAGGGATTCATCCCCAGCAGGGCCTTCTAAGCTGAGAAGGAGTTCGGCGTTTCCATCAGGAAGCCCAGCTAAGATAAACAGGTACTAGGACCCACCATGGTCCTGTTGTCGAACCAGTCGCATGGTGGCAAATCGCTTCCTGATCCACAAGGGTGGCGACTGTCTAGGTTGGTGATGGCCTGGGGCAGATTTTGGCCAGGCTAACCTTGAGACTCCAGGTAACCATTATGGCTAGGGCAGTAGAATTTCGAAAAAGTAGAAATTATGCTGTGGCACGCACAACCAGTTAAGACGGCCTCTCTAAGGATCCAAGTAAGTAAATAAGTACTAATGTTGAAAAAAGGGCGCACGTGGCGAAGTGGTCGGAGGTGCCCTGCAGCACACAAGTGGAATTGATCTCAGCGCGCATGGCCCACCAAGCTTTCCATCCATCTGGAGTCGGCAAATTGGTACCGGCCTTGTTTGGGAATGTAGCAGCACTGGCTCGATACATTGGTAGGCCACCGTGAGACTTTCTATAGGGCAGATTTGCATTCAATCACCTCCAAACGATGCTTAATGAAGTCCAATGCGTGACGCAACCCTCAGGGATTGATTAACGCCGAGCGCTCTATCCTTTTTATCTTTCAATTCCTCTCTTTCGTTCCCATAATCTGAGTGGTTGCGTGTCTCTCTGTGTATTGTATTTCAGAGTCTTAAAGAAAGTGTTGGGGAGCTAACTATTCAGACTGAAGAGTGGAAGGGTGTCATCAAACACCGTGACTCCATGGAACCAGACTTTGAAGAGATGTGACGTTTTTCTAAACCTTTCTTACTAATTGTTCTTCGTTTCTAGTTTCCAGCTATCATTTGTAGATAGTGTAATCCATTTTCTTGTAAACCATTAAATTAAGAAATTCAAAAAGAGAACGTAGGTTAGACATCTTTTTAATGCGAATTTAAGGCATAGCTTTGAATATGACTCGACTCTTCATCTGTTACCACTTATCAATGAATGGACATCGAATGAAATCGTTTTCGTAATATGGAACGTGATTGTTCACTAGTATTAAGAACTGTGATTGTATTGTTAAATTGTCATGTTTAACTTAGTACTTTAAGCTAGCGGGCTTTGGTGAGGAGAATCCCGGAGAAGGAGACAAGAAGCCTGTCGCTTGTGTGAAGAGTGAACGACTAAACGAGGGACCTGCTGAAATTCTCGCACAAGAGGATAGAAATAGAAAACAATTGGTTGAACATTACGAAGTGGGTGCACGACTATAGTTTTTTTTGAGCCCAAATAGTCACCTTCCTTACACGACATCAGTCAAGTGGTTGTGATAATACTGCATAGTTTATTGCTTATGGTTTAAGGACATTTTGCTTATCATTTTTATCCGACTTACTTAATCATTCTATCCTTCTCATCTGTCATAGTTTCTTTCTCTTCTTCCGTAGGTGAGTGAGCCATTGGTATAAAGTGTGAAATGGGTATACTCTTGGATCTCAAGGACGTGACGCTCTTGAGAGGTTTGAGCTCTCAAGTTTGCATTGATGTTAATTGCCAGGTACTCTTCAGGAAATTTTCTTTCGGGGCTTTCCATGCATAGTGAGCGAATTTCATATTCAGAATGAGTGGTACAGTGGTTAATCCAGAAATTAATTCTATTCTGTGCTTGGTGTTTCTCTTCGGGAGCCTGAAAGATCTTCGTACTGGTGTTTCCCATACGGCTTTTTATGTTTTCTTTTACAATTAACGAGCTTCCTAGATTTTATTTATCGTTGAGACACAGGTGTACATTAGTTTTATAAGCGGCTGGTGGGTTAGACGCAGCATGCGGTCCAAATGAGCGCTTCAGAACCCGCCGCACCATCGATACTTTCAACTTTTTCCTTCTACCGTTCTGACATTGAAGGGTGTCCAGTCATACAGTACAGCATTATATTTCATTGTTCTAACAAAGAATCGGTACTGAAAAAACGCGTAGTAAGCACATTTCTGTAGCCGTCGGGATGTTCCTTAAGTGGTTTTCAAATTAATTATTAGGGTCAACTTGCCGAACTTCGGTCACATTTAGATGAAAAGGAGATGAAATTGCAAAGTACCCGGGCCAGGGTGAAAGACGAACGCCCTTAGTTTGCGTTGTTATTTTTAGGTCTATTTATTTCGTTCGAGATAAAGGGAAGAATGAACGGAAGTTATTACCACTGCAGTGGTCATCTGGGGGCTTGGGGTTTCCTTTACACGTATGCCGAAGAGCTACAGTTTCGTATCCATTTGAAATCGCTATTTAGGCGCTATTTTCCGAGATTCCTCCTTCTGCACTCTTTCTGTGCGAACCCTGGCCGCTGGACGAAACCTGTTTCTTACAAGCGCCCCTTTTATGCGAAAGTGGTGAGAGGAGAGGTAATGAACGAGTATGTTTTTACTAATTGGTTTTAGGTGCCACTTTGTAGTTTAGCGTTTTCTGATAGTTTTCGGTAAGTTTGAAAGTTCAGAAAAAGATGCCAGTTTTTTTTAGGTTTTTCTCGGGTAAACTTAATGTACTCTAACTTTTTATTGAATAAATCGAAACATTTATTCATTTCCACTTGCGTTGGACAAACGACAAAGAAAATATCTATATATCTACAGTAGAGTGATCGCCGGATATCGCTTCTTCGTGCTTCCTCCTTGGAAATAAATGAAATGGCAAAGCTTGGTTCCACTCGCTGTCCCATTGCTAGCTCTCTCATTTGTGCGTAAAACCTTCCGGACCATCTAAAGTTTGAGCAGTTTAGGGACTGCATTAAGGAGGCCATCAATTGCAAAACCCAGAAGCCATACATGTTTATTTCTCCTTCGTGTTAACTAAAGAGTTCGAGAGTGGTTTGCTTAGTGAAGTCATAAGATACGTTTGTATAAATGACGGTAGCGTCCAGAAAAAAAACTGAAAACCTAGAAAGAAAACTTAGAAATGAGGTATTGAGATTTTTATAGGTAGAACTGAAGTCGGCTTTCTCTTTCCGCAAAACCGCAGGACGTCAGTCATCTCTTCTACACCGAGAATGCTCTCCTTAGAGGACCTCAACAGAATAGGAGCATTCGAAATTTTTTTTATTGCTTTTCATACATTTATTAGAATGACGTGATATTGGTAGACACTCAAATACAACAGAAATGGATTCTTAGCGAAACTACTATAGGAAATTGTAAAGGAGTAACAACATATTCATGGACAGTATGGAATCAGATTATGAGACCACTCCCTATCGCTTTGAAACAATTCTCTAATTGTATGTGATTTCCTTTTGGTTTTTCTTAAATATTACCCGTCCACACTTACTACGTGGATCCCGGAACTTCCTGCGTTCCATACGTGTCCTCGCATCCCCTATGCATGAAGGTTTTCCACCTTTTCCGTGTGGAATTGGTTGCTGCTCGAGCATTTTCGTTTCGTCATGAATGTAGTTGAGTAGTGGAAGAGGTGATTCTTTCTGGGGTCCTGAGGTAGCTCGAGTAGAGCGTTCCCACTCTGAGTTAAGAGAGTCAACTTTTTGCAAACATGCAAATACGTGAATTTGCAACTCCAACTACGTGAATTCCTTACTGCTGGTTTGACTTACTGAGTTCTACTTTCCAAAGACCGTGTTCGATTAGATCTTCCAGCTCTTTTTTTTTCTTTTTTGATTTCTTCCTGTCTTCCTCGTTATCTCTTTATAGTGATATTACGTTCATTGCAACGGGCGCACGTCCTTTGCAATACATTTACTATCACGGGCATTAAACATAAACCAATGATTTCGAACAGTAACCAACGTGTGCACGAGAAGAGAGCAGAGAGAAGATTCTCGGAACTTGGTTCGGTAAATAGCTATTTCTAATGGCTACGAAACTGTAGCTCGGGGTAGGTGTAGGGGAAATCCTAGGCCCCCAAACGACAACTCTAGCGATGAAAAAGTCCTGTTTATCCTCCCCTTCATCTCAAATGATGTTAGTGCAGCTATAAAACGCTGCTTAAGAAGGGTGGGTCTAGAGAATTCGGTAAACGTAGTTGAAATACCATCGAAGTACTCTTAGGCGCCAGCTAGTGCGTAACCGCCTATATGACCGTCTATGTGCAACGCAAAATTGCATAATTTGCCCTAATGGTAGAGAGGGTGATTGCATGAGTTCGGGTACAGTTTATCTGATCTCCTGTAAGACATGCGGAGACGAATACATTGGCGAAACGGGTAGACCACTCTGTGTCCGCATAAAAGAACACCTAGTCGGTAAACTTGAATCGAATACCCAACTAGGCACGCATAGGACCCAGAGACATAACCAGGAGGATTTTGAAGTAGTGGTTACGATTATCGCACAGGAATTTAAAACACAAGCGAGCAAAACTCTCGAGGCTTTCTGAATTAATTCCAGAAATCCGAAAATGAACCGCAGGGAAGAATGCTTCATTATCACGCGTGTTATTGGGCAGTATATAGGACAGTTATTCTGATGGGAGAGACACATTTCGCTTCCGTGTGAATTCTGTGTGGTTGGTCTTCACACGATATACTCAGCGGAAGCCTCATAGAAAGCGGTGAGCGTGCAAAGTTGTGTTCAATGTGATTGAAATCCTGGTTTAGCGCTTTGTTTGGTTATGGAGGTGTTTGGTCGATTAGATTGCTGTTAACTTGTCCTTTCCAGGCTCTGAGGAAGGCGAAATCCGCCTAAACGTCAGCTTATTCGTGATTAAAGAATAAAATAACACCTCACGTTTGTTCAACAAGAATACGAATAAATCAATGAATTCAGCCAATATTTACTATGAAATGTAATTGGAATTTCTTTACATATCGTGCGAGCCCCAATATTTCTGCAGTTCGTTTTTCATTGATCTGCAACGGTCACCCATAGAGGTGGTCGGCGGGCTCGGATTTGACTGCCAGTTTTTGTCCTCACTGATAAACTGATTAAGGGTGATTCCCCTAGAAATCTGAAACAATAGTCCTGGAATATTATCAGGTCGTCTCCACTGGTAATTATAGCCGTTTGTAGACCAGCAGTAAATTCTCTCCCTTGCGACTGAAATTCATCCAGGACGACAATGATTGTTATGAAAATTGCGATTTCCTTTACTATTAAAATTATTAAGTTAAATTTTTTACTATTAAAGAAAACTATTATTGACTGACAGGACGATGACAGTGCTACAATCCAGCGACTTCGATTGACCGTTATAAGTTTTGTTATGTGAGTTGTTTGCTCCTGTTTTAAAGTGATCTTTCAACTTTATGCTTCTCACAACACTGATCATAATTACAATTGCAATTACGTCTTCTACAATTACCGCGTAGTAAACCATCTACTGAAAGGTCGCGTGTGGGGCAGACGTTGGAGGCGCCACTGCGACACACCCGTGGAATCGATCCCTCCGCCCGTGGCTCACCAAGCCTTCCATCTTTCCGGTACGGGCAAATTTGTACCAGACTTGTATGGGAGGAGAGGAGCACTGGCTCGATACATCGGTGGGCCACCGCGAGTCATTGTAAAGGCCAGATATGCATTCAATAACCTCCAATGGTAATTAATTAAGTCAAATGCATGGCGCATGCGTCAGGGATTGATCAACGCCGAGAGCTTTTTTTGGAGCTTTTAAACCATCTACTATGGTTACAGTAAAACATCACACATATCCTCACACAAAAACCCAAGACATCAGCGCGTAAAACTCTTGAAGCGATTTGGATTAATTCCAAAAATTCAAAAATGAACTCCAAGGAGAAGTGTCTTGCCATGACGCGTGACCACGCGGCATACCTCAGGCTGATTTAATAGTCTGACCCAGACACAGTCCTCGCCCATGTTTTACTCTGTGCGGCTGCTCTCCACCAACTAGTTGGAGTACTTGCAACGAATAAAGTGCTGGTGTGTAAATGAAACTGTTTATTATGCGAATGCAAATTATGTATTATTTCCCAGGATCGACTTTCTCTTAACCTCGGCATTGGAATATGAATGTGTCGTTTTCTTGTTCAGCAATCGCGAGGTTTTTAAACAGCATACATTTACTTCCATAAAAACACAATACAATACAACGCTAGCTGACGTCTCGGCAGTATCGCCTTCTTCAGAGCCTGGAAGGGTATACTGATATACAATCTACTAGGCCAAACGCTTCAATAACACTTACACAAAGACGAAAGACTCTTTGGTAATTACACGATCAACAACTTCTCGACAAACCCACCTCTTTTTCGTGACTTCCAATGAGGAAGTTTAGAACAGCTGATTATAGTCGCATGTGGTTGACGACTGCACC